CGAACCATCCAGGAGCTCGCCATGCTACATCGCGAAGAGTTTCCTCGCGCTTATAAGGTTATAATGGAAGAAATTTATGCAGATGACGCTGCCACAGGAGACGAAACAATAGAAGATGCCCTCGAGTTGCGCAGAGAGCTCATCAGCCTTTTTGAGCTTGGAGGTTTTCAGCTCAGAAAATTGTTGAACAATTCACCGCAGTTACTGGCAGGTGTGCCTCCCGAGCAACTAGAAATTCCCTCCTCATGGAGAAGTGATGAAAGTGCCACATTTTCCGTCCTAGGACTACAGTGGTTACCGTCAGAAGATATTTTTACGTATAAAATCATAAGTCTGAACCGCCCGCGCACAAAGCGAGGGATTCTCTCCACCTACGCAACAATTTTTGACCCGCTGGGGTGGGTAGGTCCAGCTGTTTTTCCCGCCAAAAGTCTCACTCAGCATCTCTGGCTAATTAAATGTGACTGGGATGACCCTCTTCCAACCAATCTTGCTCAAACTTGGGATAATTTTTTATCAGATCTCAAGTCTTTAGAGGACGTAAAAATCCCTCGTCAAAGTTGCCCGCCAAATTCGGAAATTCAAATTCACGGATTCGCAGACGCTTCAATTTTAGGATACAATGCCGTGGCATATATGCGTTTCCAATTGCCTGATGGAAAATATTCAACATCGTTAGTTGCTTCAAAAACTAAGGTTGCTCCTCTTAAAGTCGTATCTCTACCACGCTTAGAATTATGCGCCGCATTTTTGTTAACTTCCCTTCTCGAATTTATCTCACCAGTACTTGGTAAAATTTACACAATAACCGAAACTTTCGGGTGGTCTGACTCAAGTATCACGTTACAATGGATTCAGACACCACCGCACAAACTAAAAACATTTGTTGCAAATCGCGTGGCACATATTCAAGAACATTTTCCATCAGTGCAATGGCGCTATATAAAATCGGCTGATAACCCCAGTGACGTTGGATCCCGCGGATGCTCCGCGTCCGCTCTCCTGAAAAACAAATTATGGTGGGAAGGTCCAAGCTTCCTCCGAAATCCTCAATCTGAATGGCCGAAACCACGTTTTCAGCCAGACTCAGAAAAATTACCAGAAACTAGGGCCCTCGTCGCACTGCAAGATGAGGAACAAAACGAGGATTTTGAATTTTTGAGCCGATTCTCTAGCTGGAGTAAAATGCAACGCGTCGTTGCCATATTGATTCGATTTGTACATAATTCACGTCACCCAGCTCAGAGAAAAACCGGTGCCCTCACGGTCGAATAATTTTTAGAGGCCGAACGGCGTCTAATATGGTTAATACAAAAAAGAGCCTTCTCAGATGAAATTAGATTATTGAAAAGAGGCCGCCCGGCTTCAAACCAATTGAAACGACTGAATCCAATTTTAGACGAAAATGACATGATTCGGGCAGGAGGCCGTCTAAATCACTCGTCTCTCACTTTCGGCCGAAAATACCCATGGATCTTATCTAAAAATCACCCGCTTGTTCAAGTGTTGGTAAAGCATTACCATGTTGCCTACCTTCACGCCGGGCCGCAATTATTGCAGTCCACACTTAGCCAAAAATGTTGGATCTTGAGCAGCCGCAGAGTGATACGCTCAGTAATTTACTCTTGCATACCGTGCTTCCGAGCACAGCCTAGACAAATTCAGCCTCAAATGGGAAATTTACCGCCTGCGAGAGAAAACCCGAATCCCGCCTTCATTCATACGGGATGCGATTTTGCTGGGTATTTTCACGTTCGCGTCCACACACTACGAAGTGCGCGCACTGTGAGAGCATATATTTGCATAACAAAAGCAGTGCACCTAGAAGTCACTTAAGACTTAACGACTGACTCTTTTATTGTCGCTCTAACGAAACTTGCTTGTCGCAGAGGTAACCCCGCGCACCTCTACTCTGATTGTGGGAGCAATCTCATGGGTGGCAGTAGTGATCTCCGAAAAATCACCAAACAACTACGGATCGATCTAAAAACTTGTCCTGAGCTCGAGAAAATTATCCAAGAGCGTCACATACAGTTTCACCCCACCTCCCCGGCCGCCCCACATCATAATGGCATTTCCGAGGCTGCCGTCAAACAATTGCCGTTGAGGCAATGCTAAATTCCAGGCCTCTAGCTCCGCTATCAAGTGACCCAAATGATTTGGCTCCACTGACTCCCGCTCATTTTTTGATCGGCCGAGCGCTGGTCAGCCCCCTCGAACCTGACTATAGCGAATTACCAAGTAAAAAATTCCCCGCTAAACGATGGAGACGCGTACAAGCGATTACCCAATCATTCTGGAAAAGATGGGGTAACGAGTACCTGCACACCTTACAAATGCGACATAAGTGGTTTAGCAAAACACGAAATCTCAAAATAGATGATCTCGTCCTCATCCATGATCACTCAACCGTACCTCTACATTGGAAAATGGGACGTGTAGTTCAGCTTCACCCAGGCACCGACGGCCAAGTACGAATCGTCCGCGTTCGCACTAGCACGGGCGATCTCACTAGACCAGTAGTCAAACTTTACCCTCTACCTACAATGGAAACGGACGAATCAGACCCCGAGTAAAACGACGAATAAGTCCTCGGCGCCTTCTCTCCATCTCGGGGAACGACAAGATTCGCTTGTAAATAACCTAATTAAAATACAAATAAATTAATTATATAAATTTTTCATATTTAATTATTAATTATGTAAATTAATTATACCTCATCTACTCTTAATCAATTACAAAACCTTTATTTTTTTTTACTCGGCTCCTTTGTCTTCCCTCCCGCGAACTTTCTTAGCCAATAAGTATCAGAAGAAAAAATCAGCTCCCGCCATTAGTCAAATTTTCGCGCCAAATTTGCACCAAAAAATTTCCCGCGATTGCATTGATTGGCTAATCCCCCGGTCAATTTTTTTTTCTTCTTCTTCATTTTTTAAATTTTTTTGTATAAATAGAAGGACCTTCCACCTCTCAGATTCATTCATTCGCTCTGCTCAGTGCCGTAAGAAGCAACCATGGACATCCTGGATATTACCGACGCTAGCTTGGAGAAGGAACTATCAATGGAAGAAGAAATGGCTGAATTGGAGAAGATGATTGACCTAACAGCCAGAAGAAAGACGCAACCCGCTCCCGTGGCTCGTCAACTCAAGATTATCGAGGCGCTCCCACAGAAACCTTCGCGGGACCCAGAGCCAGTCATCCTGCCAGATCTCCCTCCTCCACTCAAAAATTGTCACAAGAAAGCAGTCAACGAATGGAAACCGAAACCCCAAGCTAAGAAACCGAAGCGACTTTACATCAGGCTTCCGGTTCCACATCGCATTCCAGTTGCGCCGCAAAAATATGAGCCATTCCTCCCATTGCGGCAAATCCAGATGCAGGCACCGCCTGTTCTCTACAACGCCCAAACATTACAAGATCGGCGTTTTAGACCAATGCCCCGCAATCGACGAGAGGCCCGCTACTTCCAGCACTTAGACCTGGTGCAGGAAAGGGGATGGAACGACAGAACACTTCGCGGTGCTCCATCTAAAAAATTGAACCGCCGAGCAGAGCGAGCTGCACGTTGGCGAGCAGCTCACGGCCGCAAAGTCTAACAGCTGGACTCAAAACTAGCTTTCTTAAAACGGCCCTTCTCAGGGCCAACAAATGAGAGCCTTCTGTATTTTCCTTTTTTTTTTTCTCTCTTACTCCTATCCTTTAAATTACATGGTAATTGCATGTATATATTACGCAGTTACAAACCCCGAGATCACGAACTCCGGCGACACTCTCTGGTCCCAGAGAATGCTCTATGATAATTACGTTGTAAATAAATAATCAAAACTTCCTGGTAATTTATGGCAATAATTATTTTCAATTCACTACTTTCAACTTTAATTTACTTTAATTTCCCTATACTTAATATCACTTTATTCTCATTAATTCCTTAAAAATGATTTATTATTAAGTATTTAAAACTTGAATCAACCCCGAGAGCCTTAAAACCTCGGCGATGCTCTCTAATTTTTTTTGGAGAACGAACTAGTATTATGAAATAAATGATTCACTTTTCTATCATAATTTTATTCACGTTGAAAACATTAATCTCTTTACTTTAAGTATCCAACTAATATTCTCTTCAAGTTAATTTTCTAAGTATTAACTTATCCAAATTAATTATATACATGTTAATTCTTACTTTCGATTGCTTACCCAATTAAAACCTCACTCACTTAATTATCTAATATTACTCCCGTCACATTAATTATAATTAATAGAATATTACTCATTTAGATAACTACAATGTAAATAATAAGTTGATATCTCCTATTAATTTTCCCACCCAAAACCCACCCCACCTAAGTGGCGATATACTTCACACACGTGTGGAATGCATAATAACTTCGAGCGGATTTCTTCATCTTGTACGATCCGTCATTCACTTTCGAACCAACTTACGTTGGTTCAACCCCCGGAGTATGTTCGATCCCGATCGAACAAACTTAGAGCAATTTTAGGAAATTTCATCATACTCATTTTTATCCCCCCCCCCTCACTCTTGAGGATCCTCTCAATTTTATATATTATTTAATCACTCACTTATTTCATAAAAATAAGTTTAAACTCAATTCACCGGCATTCAAAATTTCATTATATCCAAGTGTCCTTGTTTGACACCCGAACTTGCTATTCTCAGAGGGGCGGGCATCAATTTACCACTCTTTTGTTTTCGCGACGCGAAGCGCGAAAAACACCGGCCAATCACATTGCGCGCCCGCGGCAACTAATTAATTATTCCACCTCATGCACACCTCGACCCGCCTCCCATTTGTGCGTCCTTAAAAGGTGTCCTTTACCTTCTATTAAAATTGAAAGTGCTCTTCCTGACCATTTAATCACCTGCCTTAAACACCCTTTTCATGTTCCCAACCTTTCTTTCATATTTATCCTCAAATTTATCTTCATTACCTCCGTATTTCTTCGCAACTATGAGTCCCATCCATATGCAAATTTTCCAAATTTTTCACCTTCTTTAGCTTCGGTTCTCTGATGGACCCCAAAACCTATATATATTCTGGAAGTACTCATTAAGCCCGACCTGCTCAAACCTTTATCGACCAATAAAGTTCAAATCTCATCATTCAACTCCAACTTTCAAAGTCCACGGCAAACACAGATCCGCTCCCCCTGGAGCCCCCCACCTAGCGGCCGTCCCCGCTCGGTTCCTTTTGGCTCTTGCGCGGCGCTCAAGACGTCAGCCGCTCGCACCTTAGAATCACTTGTATCCAGCACGCTGAAGAAGACGGACCCGGACCTCACCACGGACGCAGTTCTCTCCCGGATCCAGAACCTCTACCCGACGCCCCTGCCAAGGTGGACTCTGAACAAGGATAAGGACTCTGGCTCTCCATTGTTGGAAAGGACATCTTCCCGCTCTATGCAAGTCCCGTCAATCGACGGTCCCCACGAAGCAACGTGATCACCTGGCGCCTGCTCGCTGTATGAAGGAAACCGACGTTACCTCGTCCCGGTTCTCTGAAGTCCAGCTAGACTCTCTCCAGTAATCGCTGCGTAGTGATGAAAGGTACGCCACAAGCGCTGCCTCATCACTCAACGTATTAATATTCTTTCCCTTTACAAGTTCAATTCACTCTTCACCGCAGGTGTATCGCCTGTCCTGCTTTTGGGCTATCCCAAAAAAGTATACTCCACTAATTGCATGCCACGTTCACTATTCCGATGGTGAAGGTTTCATGCAATCAGCCGACTTGCTTTAATACGCACCTTCTGTGCCTATTAGAACGTACTATTCAATTATCTCATTTAATATTCCAAATTTCTCATTATCCCCATTTCAACCTAACCTCTAAATTGTGGCATTGAATCATTTGTTCAATCTCCCTCAATTTAGCGGCATGCTTTAATGCAAATCTTCTATTTGCATTAGAACGTTCTTTTCTTTCCCCCTTTCGGCCAATCATTTATTTTGGTCACTTTTTCACCTCTCAGCTCTTTTCTTTCTTTTCTGCTTTGCTTCTTTTTCCTCAAAATAAGCTGGTCCCACGGTTTTAATTTATCCCCCCCCCCTCTTTTCTGTTTCGCTCCTTTCTCATATCCAATTTTTTCTCCTCCTCTTCTTTTTTTTCTAAGTTTTTCCCCTTTATATCGCTCACTCTTAAACAATCATCATCAAATTTGTGATGAAACTGCTGGGACATTAGAAGGTCCTCCTGAAAAATGGCACTTAGACAAAGATGCAAAACCAGTTTTCGCTCGGGCTCGCCCACTTCCCTACACTATACGTGAGGCTTACGCTCAAAATATTGAGAAGAAGTTACTATCTGGCCACTATAAAAAAGTCACACATTCCAGATGGGCTTCACCAACTTACGTAGTAGTGAAAAATGGGAAACTAAGAATTACGGGCGACTATAAGTCAACCGTCAATCCACAGCTGATAGCAGATGAATACCCGATTCCCAAAGTAGAAGAAGTTTTTCATGGAATGAAGGATGCCAAAGTTTTCTGTAAATTAGATGTAACTGATGCCTTTATGCATCTCGTTTGTGATGATGAATCGTGTGAATTGATGACCCTGAATACTCCTACTCACGGTCTGATTAGGCCCACCAGGGCACAATATGGGTTAACACCCGTCCCTGCTGTATGGCAGCGTAGGCTCCATTCGCATCTTTAAGACATTGAAGGCGCAACAAATTTTTTTGATGATATTTTGCTCTATGCCAGTTCTGTAGAAGAAATGTTTCTCATTTTAGCCAGGGTTCTGGATCGCCTAGAAAAGATTGGTATCAAACTCAACCGACCCAAATGACAGTTCTTCCTAGACTCTGTTGAATTTCTGGGCCATAGGATCGATCAACATGGACTCCACAAATTGGATAAACATGTTAATGCTATAGTGAACGCCGAAAAACCTCAAAACGCTGATGAACTCCGAACATTTCTGGGTAAAGTAACCTACTACCATTTTTTCATACCAGATCTCTCCACAATTACTCATCCTCTCAGAGAAATACTGAAACATAAAATTTTCACTTGGACTCAATAAGGCCTTGCTGCTTTCAACAAACTGAAGGCAATTTCCAATTTTGATCTCTGACCAAGTATTGACTCCATATGATCCAAAACTGCCGATTGCATTAGCAGTCGATGCCAGTCCCTTCGCTTTAGGCGCAGTGTTATCACACTCCCTGCCGGATGAAACGGAGAGATCCATTTCATATGCGAGTAAAGCTCTAAGTAACGTGGAGAAACGGTACCCGCAGGTTGATAGAGAAGCTCTTGCTATTGTGTGGAGAGTAAAAAGTTTTTTTGAATACTTGTATGGTCGGAAATTCACCTTGTACACTGACAATAAACCTGTGTCTCATATCTTCGCACCAAATGCTCTCCTTCCAAAATTTACCTTGTCTCGTTGTGCAAACTATGCATCCTACCTGTCCAACTTTAATTACGACATCAAATTCAGGCGTTCAACTCAAAATTGCAATGCTGATTATTTGTCTCGTATCCACAGCTTCAGCGTACCTTCCTCATCTTTCGATGATTTTGATATTTTTATTCTTAACCAAATTGAGCTACTTCCTGTAACGTCACAGCTAAATGCTGCAGAAACAAGGAAAGATCCACAACTTTCACCGATTTTGCAAGCAATCCAACAAGGGAAGGACTTAACCTCACTTGGTTACACCGGACAGCAAGCAGAATATACGCAGGCTTGTGATTGCCTTTTATGGGGTCACCGTTTAGTAATTCCAGCTAGATTGCAAAAAAGAATATTAGAAGAACTGCATCTTGCACATTCTGGCATTACAAAAATGAAAAGCCTTGCTAGATCAATCGAGTACTGGCCAAACATTGATCAAGATATTGAGCAACTTGCTAAAACCTGTGAGGCGTGTCTCAGTCACAGCAAAGCACCTCCAAAATTCTCGCATCCATGGGAATACCCGTCAGCTCCTTGGGAGAGAATTCACATAGACTACGCAGGTCCAATTCGTGGCAAATACTTGCTTATCGCAGTGGATGCTTACTTCAAATGGCTACAGGTTTTCCCTTCTCAGTTCATGACTAGTGAAGCAACCTGTAAGTTACTCTCAAACACATTCTCCCTGTTCGGTGCTCCAGTCACAGTCATCTCGGACAACGGTCCTGCTTTTGTCTCCAACCATTTCCAACAATTCCTAAAATCACAAGGAATCCTGTTTCACAAAAAAATAGCGCTGTACCATCCGGCAACCAACGGACAAGCAGAGCGAGCCGTACACACCGTCAAAAATTCATTAAAATATATGGAAGCAACAATCCACACCCTCCAAGACTCCTTAAACACAATTGTCCAACGATATAATAGAACACCCCATCAAGCAACGGGACAACCGCCCTCTTTACTCTTCATCGGCAGAACATCCCGAACTCGGGTTGATGCTTGCTATGCATCCGAATTTAAAAATCATCGTTAATCAACGACAAAACAACAGCTTTTCAAAGAAGCTCCGTTCCTTCAGAATAAATCAAGAGGTTATGTTTCGGTCATACAATAGTCCAAAACCCTGGCTGCAAGGTGTGATTTCTGCAAAACTCGGTGCCTTGCACTACTTGGTCAAATACAAGAACCAACAACACAAGCGTCACATTGATCAACTACTGTCTTGTGGAATCACTCTTGACCGCCCTTCACCGTCAAACTGCAACACTGATGTTCGCGCTGCTGATGCAACTACCAGAAAACGGGTAAAATTCTTTCCTGTATCAAACGCAACCTCTAGTCCTCAACCGAAGTCTACTTTTACTCAAACCTCACCACTTGCTTTTTCTGATAGGTCAAAGACAATTCCCTGTCAAACTTCACATGATGAAATTTCGAACAAATCTAGTCCTACACTAAGTCAATCTTCTCCGAAGAACTCATCCAGTCAATCTTCTCCAAAGAACTCATCCAGTCAATCTTCTCCGAAGAACTCATCCATTCAATCTTCTCCGAAGAACTCATCTATTCAATGTTCTCCGAAGAACTCATCTATATCTTCTTCGAGGAACTTGCCAATTCAATCTTCTCCGGATAATTCATCTACTCAATCACAGTCTACTTCTAACCAACCTTCGCAAAGAGGCTCACCAACCCAGTCAACTTCGGGTTCTAGCTCTTCACCCAATGTTTCACCACAACATCTCAAGTCACCGATTAGTCAACATGCAGAATCCTCTAGTCAATTTATCAACGTTACTCCTAAAAATGTACCTATATCAAAACCCAACAAAGGTCGAGGCAGAGGTGTTTCTAAAGCCACCAAAAAACAATTTTCAGTTAAACCTGGTGTTTCGACTTTTGGTCGCATTGTAAAACCTAAGGAACCATACTCTCCAGAGTAATAAATTGAATTATTGCTCTTTCACTGTAACACTGTTGAATAATTTTCAAATTTTTATTTTTCTGTTCCATTAGAAAAAATTTATTCACATAAATTTTTTTTCTTCGCACTCTTGTGGAGATTGTAGTATCCGTCAAGTTGGTAGTATGTATTCCTAGGGAGATTTACCCTAGTAGGTCGTGAAGCCTGGTTGGGCACTTGTAAGCTTATCAATAAAATGTGATCTTCTTCTTAGACCAGTGTCTCACTTTTCACCTTTTCCTTCAAAGGCATCTCTTGCGATATTATAGGACGAAGCATTGGTAGGTTGTAAATACGTTACTGCTTTCATAATCATTATTTAATTCTCTAGATCGTATTATTACGACGGTATATATGTGTGGACATCATGTGGGGATGAGTGAAACTGTTGTTGGACAACCTGCTCACTGCTATTGATACTTACCTTTTTCTAGATGTTATACGAAGATTCTAATGAATGCCTGTTACCATAATATACCCTTACTGAGCTTACGTCAATAAGTTCCTGTCAATGTCAGTGTTTGAGAAGTCTAATGTTATCGATGAAGTACCTTCAAAATCTTATCAGCATGGATGGGATCAAACGGAGAAAACTTCTCCACAGCGTTATTGTATGCTAACAGTTAATACCTGGAACATAATGTCAGCATTTCTCTGAAGGTATCACCTGAAATTGATTTTAACAATACTACCTATGAATTGGAATGTTTAGGGGGAAAAAATATGGATAATATGAAACAAAATTGAGTGATTAATGGCTGGAATGAATGAAGCGCAACACTTTAGAAACGCAGAAAACAAACATTGGTGTCCAATATCAGCTAATTAGTTGCGAATGTTTAGGTTTTGTTCGCGCCGCGAACTTAGGCCGGCTGGAGTCTCCTACCAGCTGGGCGCAGCGCGGTTACTCCGCCACTATCATGCTATACGCCCGCGTCCCCGCGCCGCGCCTCGCCCCGTCCGCCTCATCCTTCCCCGCCCCGCGATGCCGCGTCGCGACGCCCATGTCGGCTTCCCGCAGCATCCGCTAGATAGCGCTGATGGCCCGGCCGCGGAGATGTTTCACTCCTCCAGTGCGATCCGATTTTGAAGGCATCCCGCGCTGAGGAAAATCGAGATCGATCCTTCCAAAGATCACGCTCCCGCTAAGTAAGAGTGATCTTCCATAACGCTCTCTCGTCGCTGATCCTGCTGTGTAGTAGTCACCTTCCAAAGCACTCTACAATCTCTGCTGTTCGGTAAACGTTTTCCAGGACGTTTCTCCGCCACAGCTCATCTGCCCGGTGAAGTCGCCCTCCAAGGCGCTTCCCAGTCGCCGCGCTTCCGCTGTTTGGAACCGTCTAATTCCTCAGCCGCAGCTCATCTGCCCGGTGAAGTCGCCCTCCAAAGCACTTCCTCGACGCCGCGCTACCGCTGCTTGGAAATCGTCCTCCAAGACTTTCCTCAGCCGCAATTCATCAGCCCGGTGAAGTTGCCTTCCAAAGCACTTCCCAGTCGCCGCGCTGCCGCTGTTTGGAATTGGAACCGTCCACCAAGACGCTTCTCAGCCGCAGCTCTCCTGCCCGGTGAAGTGGCTCCCCAAGGCACTTCCCCGACGCCGCGCTTCCGCTGTTTGGAACCGTCTAATTCCTCAGCCGCAGCTCATCTACCCGGTGAAGTCGCCCTCCAAAGCACTTCCCCGACGCCGCGCTACCGCTGCTTGGAAATCGTCCTCCAAGACGTTACTCAGCCGCAGTTCATCAGCCCGGTAAAGTCGCCCTCCAAAGCACTTCCTCGACGCCGCGCTCCCGCCGGTAGGAAACCGTCCTCCAAGACGTTTTCCCTCAGCCGCTCACCTGCCAAGTGAAGCAGTCCTCGAGTTGGGCTCATCTCTAGCGGCCCGGCACAGCCAGCTGTAACCTCAGTGGCCCACCGGGAATTTGAAGGCGCTTCCGACCTCACGGCGCGAGTAACCAGCTCTTCACCCGGCGATGATCTCGGTCCGCTCAGGTCAGGTCAGCCTGGGACTCCGGCTCTTCTCACCTTCCGTGTGGTGCTGTCGTCGTGGGCTTCACTCACTGGAGTTCCCGTCACCAGGCAGATCCCAAAGTGATCGCCTGGGGCTATTTTAGGAAGAGTGAACGCTCCGAGGGCTATTCTCTCGCGACAGCACGGGACGAAGACTCCACCGAGCCGCGTCACGGGCCGCCCTGTTCTGCGCCTACGAGCCCCCCTCCCCCGTTCTGAGGCAACTTAACAGGCCGACGCCCCCCCCCCCCTTATGCGTCTACCCTGCGTCTCGGGTGTTACCGCCAGGAAGTAGCCTGCGGGGAAATCCCTGCGATTGTATTCCGCGCCTTTGGCACAAACCCTATAAATCGCAGAGCACCGCTAGCCGTGTGCTCTCCAAAGCTCACGGCTCACCCCTGCATTTAGCGAGTCGCTTCTGCGCGCGAACAGGTTTTGTCATTAAAGGTAGAATGTGAGAGAAAAACTAACGTAAGAGACGCTCAGAATTGTTTTTTCCCATTAATTAGTGATGAACAGAGTCCAAAATAAGGATGTAAACAAAGGGGTAACATTACCTCACTTTCGGGACTTGCTTCGATACATCAAGTATAACTAATTTATCCGATGCGATATTGGAGATTCACCAGATAGAAACGTAAATTTGAATTTAAGGATATATAGAATTAATAATCGCAAGAAAATCTGGCAGAAACTGTCTGAAACCACCCAAAATCAGCGTTTGAGAATTGACTTTCCGTTCCTTACGGGAAATCCCATGTAAATCGAACCGACCAAATCCCGGTTAGGGCACTAGGCCTAAAATCTCAATATATCTCGAAATGTGACGTCATCACTAAAACGGTCGACTGCATTTTACAGAAGACAGTACTAAATGGCATAACTGCAAATCAGATTTGGGGACATCAACTTCCCGCTAAATACATCAATTTAAATTCTTTTCAGTGACAGCGCTAATCTGAACTTTTGCAGTGTCAAAAAATCCGAGAAAAATCCATTAATTTTTCTTTCATTATCTTATAAATTACGAAAACGAATTTTAAAAAATGAGCTCTATTGACCCATTTCAGATATTTGATTACCGAGAGAGTTAAATTAGAAACTGAGGCTAAAAGTTAGAACTTAACAACAGGCTGAGAAAGCTCCAACAAAAGGACAATGAAATATCCTTACCTTTGTTATCGATAAAACGTTAGTCACATTTGAAAGAAGGTTTACAGCATGTTTAGGAATCACTTCATTAGATACAAACGCTTTTTCATTCAAGCCTATGATTGAGTCAACCAGAGGTGTTATCCAATTCTGTTTGGAGACAGCAATGCCGACAAGGGTGTCCATTAATTGTTTGTGATATTCATAATTCAAGGAAATTTCGTTGATCCACAAAATCAACCCTGACCATTCGAACGACTTCTGGAGGTGAATTTTGTTCTGCAACAGTCCTAAAGAAACAGAAAAAATTTTAATTAGATGTTCTTTTAATGATTTTTTGAGACATAGAAAAACTATGAGAAAATAAATTGAAATAATACTAAGCAGACTGCACACATTATCTGAAATACGAATAGCAGATCCAAAATTTGGAGCACAGAAATTAATGCATTTCCCATTCCATTCAATGATGATTCTCTCTTTTAATCCTTTGGGTGGAATGGTGATGAAGAATTGCAGTTTGGCCAAAATACTGCACATTGTCACAGTGCACACCTTGCATTTCTTTTAGAGTTTCTGTTGGTGTCATCCCATGCCTCACACAGTAACAAATGACAAAATGATGTTCTTCGTCCCTTTTTGAAACATTTACAAAGAGGATAAAAACTAAACACTGATTACTCACACACAGAAAGTCCACTCAGCAGTGAAATTTTGAGTTTGCTTGGAATGGTTATGGTAAGTCATGGCTGCATTCGGCTGGTGCCTGGTTGTTGCAGGGTCATGTTCTACATTTGTTACAGCCTCAGAACGATGTTTTGAGAGATAATTTTCCGTCAGAAAGAAAATGGCGTGGGATCCCGTTTTCAGCTTTTTTTTTGAACTGTCAGTAAATCAAGGATGTTGAGCCGAATGAGCTCAGATGGCCCAAATGGACGTATTTCTGTCAAACAGAACTAAGTGCAGATGGGATAGATGGGGTGGTGTGTTCGTTAGTGCTCGGGCCATAAGAATGAATAGGAAATATAAAGTCCTCACAACGTAGCCGCCGCCGCGGCTCGGCGTGGTGGGCATTAACTCATGAGCCCTGGCCATAACGCTAGAGACACATGCCCATGGCTCATGAGAGCCGCATTCAGTTGGCTCACAATACCGTTTGCCGCGTTGAAAAAGCAGGATTTTACATTCTGTCAAACGGAACTATGTGCAAAGTGTATGAGCCATGGGCATGTGTTTAGAGCGTTGTGGCTAAGGCTTATGAGTTAATGCTCAACACGCAGAGCCGCGGCGAAGGCTTCGTCGCTGGGGCTTAATATTTCCAATTTTTTCTTATGGCCTGAGCACTGACAACCCCCCCCCCCATCTCTCTCTCCTGCACATAATTCTGTTTGACAGAAATAGTCCAAATGTGTTTTTGGGACAACTCTCATAAAAATTAATGGCCATCAATGACTTGAAAATATGAGGTAAAAAGTAATATTTATTCAGTGCTTGAAGGGTTTTATGGGTTTCCTCAACTACAAATTGGCCAAATGAAGAATTTGCATGCAAATTGTTTATTGCTTCATCTGAAAGTGCTTAAAGAACTCATTTCGCAGACTTTCTTAAAAATTTTTTCTGATATGGGGATCAGTATAAAAATAGATTTAAAAGTGAGAAAAGGCACCGCCTGGTGACGTCATCTGGCAGCATTTCCCATTTCACACAAACGTATTTTTGCAGATTACATCATTTTGTCATATCTTCTCCAATAATTGTTCAATTCGACGTATTTCTGTCAAACGGAACTAGGCGCAATAAGGGGAGGAAGGTAGAGGGGGGGCTTGGATTGGCGGCGGAATTGGGCGTCGGGCTCATTCCGTCCTATACTTGTAAAGGTTTTCCATGGCGCTTAGTTCCGTTTGACAGAACGCGCTACCCGGCACTCTAATTCCTCAAAAGGAACTCAAATTGGCGCTTCGTTCCGTTTGATAGAGATGGGTCCAATTCATAAACCAAGGGTATCCTTGCGATCAGTTCACTCAGTAGTTTCCGCTTTAACACAAAATTCATCAAATTTCGGACACCTGCAAACTCTCTATTTTTTCGAAAAATTTGCACTTTTCCCCAAGAATAAAAGAAAAAAGGAAAAAAAAATTATGATAAAAGACTATTGGAAGGTCTTTAGCATTTATTTCATGAGATAATATGTTTTTGAGATATGTATTTAGTAAGAGGGTTCAGTTGTTTCCATGGTAAGAGAAAGGAGCTTTACTACTAGATTCAGAGTAGCAGATGGGCAGGATCGACTGATGAGAAATTTTGCTACCTTTTGCTGCAAAATGATCTGGTTATGCTTACCAAAGGTTTGAAGAATCAGCCTAACGTTAAGCCTCCCAATTTGAAGTTGAGAGTCTTAAAAAAAAAACCCAAGGCTTGCACCACCATCATTTTTTACCTTAAAAAGGTTTGACAAAAATTTTAATTATATAGATTGTGCCCGAACTTTCGAAACTTGGGAAAGCTATTTTTGGGACAAGTATAAATTTAGGAGCTTTCAACAGAAGAAAACTTGTTTCGGCCAGAAGAACTGCTCCCTGAACTTAGGCTAAAAAATCCTGTTTCACCCTGTAGAAAACTTGATTTTTAATTTTGTACAGGTTACCCACTAATATTTCATACCTCAGATTACCGCCACAACATGGCATGATTCATTAATTCCAATAATCTAAGGGAGTAATGCTTCAAAGAGAATATCTTCAAATATCAGAGGAAAATCATTCCTTGTATTGTGAATGATAATTTTGGGGGGGGGGGGGGGTTAAAAACAATTTTTCTTCCAAAGGAGGGGATTATTCATTGGCAAGAACTAAAAAACACCCATCAATCAGCTACTCAAGAACTGGTTACTGCTGCAACCGCATCAAAGTCAGAGTAGTCCATTTTGAGCCCTCTGATCAGGATATCCTAGGAATAAACAGGAAAAAAGTACTTTCGATAGGCAAATTAAAAAGGTGAACACTTTTGTCATTACACTGTCATGAGACAGATATGAAATCAAGAGCAAAAATCAAGATTGATTCAAACACAAGGATTTAAAAAACGCTGACCAAGGTCACAAAATCTGACGTTCTCTTCAGAAACAAGTTTCCAGGGACTTAGCACAAAATTTCTCAGATAATACTGAATGACATTAGGGGCCAATTAGTAGTTTCTTCTGTCTGGTGAAATCAAGAATATGATTTTTAACCAACCAAGTATGAGGGTGAGAATTAGATGCAATGTTGACTTATTTATATCATCTTTCAAAACAGCAACGGAGATATCATGACAAACAGCAAAGATAAGACAAATGAGAACTGTCCGACTTTCTGAAGAGAGATAATTCAGTGGTAAAGCAGCGAGGAGTTCAATATTCCTGAAACAAAATTATGATAAGGACTGTAGGACTTTTAAAAATGTATCAAGTACTCACAAGAGGATACAAGTAAATAGGGGTAATACAAAATGAGATTGAGAAACAGCTGATCGTTCAAAAACATAAAATTAGTATGACTACATTCTTTCGCTTCAGTCCTATGAAATTTTTATTCAAATTGCAGAATAGCTGAACTATCATGCTGAATATCTCGGAAACTATTGATGTTATCAAAAAATGCAAAGGACTTATCAATTGTATTTTTTTTTTTCTCTCTCTTGCTTTCTAAATCTGTGGCCAAAACTCCAATGAAGAGTAGTATGAATGCACAATTTGGTGTATTTTAAATTGAAGGCCTCATAAATACGCCCAAACAACTTACTCAGTATCATTTATTACCAAAAATCTGCATTTGGCACGAAAAACTACTGCTGACTACACAGTTTCATGATAGTTGACTGTGTTGGTTGCAGCTTTGTGGGGTTTAACTTTAAGATTCAAGTTTGTACGGAACAAAGTTTCATTTTCTTCTGAAATTCCCCTGATCAAACCCGGGGCATCCATGTAAAATGGAAACCAACAAATTCAACAATGGCTAAGAGTAGAAACTTATGGAAAGTGGAGTCAAATAGAGAGAAGTCTTTCTCCTGCTGCCGATATGTTACTGGCACTTATGATAATTCCTTCAGAAAGGACTACGTGCAAAACGGGCCATTTGGGGCTCGGGGCGGATACCTTTGAGACTTGCCCTATTCATTCACCTAACAATGCCCCATCTTTTCCCGAAGTTTCAAGCCCCCCAAAAATTTTGGGGAGACGCGGCGGGGGGTCAAAGTTCAAAACCGGCAAAATTTTCGCGAATTTATTACTCGAAAACCAAGAAGTTTTCGTAAACGCGGTTTAAACGAGCGTATTCAGCGTGACGAGAGCTTTCAGAAAATGTATAACATCATAGGGTTTTGTCAACTTCAGCTCGAGTTATCGCCTCCGAAGCGCCGGAACGCTCAAAAGAGACCCCTTATTTTTTCACGTTTGGGCCGATTTAAAAAAAAGCCATTTTTTTAATTTCATGAAAAACTGTAATGTTGTTCCTGACTCTCTGTAGCCCCTCTAGCTCTTTACCGCATGCTGGGGAAATGTTTTGGTCGCGAGTTATAAGAGCGGAAAGGAGCGAAGGTCGGGAAAATTGGCTATTTTAAACTGCGCGCGGCGACGGATCAGGAGCCATGTGGCAACTATGCGAGGTCGGCAGAGGAGTGTGATTCACCGAAATGAGTGGGAGGGGACGTTTTCCCTCCGATCAACGCCGCGCGCGCAGTTTAAAATAGCCAATTTTCCCGACCTTCCCTCCTTTCCGCTCTTATAACTCGCGACCAAAACATTTCCCCAGCATGCGGTAAAGAGCTAAAGGGGCTACAGAGAGTCAGGAACAACATATCAGTTTTTCATGAAATTAAAAAAATGGCTTTTTTTTAAATCGGCCCAAACGTGAAAAAATAAGGGGTCTCTTTTGAGCGTTCCGGCGCTTCGGAGGCGATAACTCGAGCTGAAGTTGACAAAACCCTATGATGTTATACATTTTCTGAAAGCTCTCGTCACGCTGAATACGCTCGTTTAAACCGCGTTTACGAAAACTTCTTGGTTTTCGAGTAATAAATTCGCGAAAATTTTGCCGGTTTTGAACTTTGACCCCCCGCCGCGTCTCCCCAAAATTTTTGGGGGGCTTGAAACTTTGGGAAAAGATGGGGCATTGTTAGGTGAATGAATAGGGCAAGTCTCAAAGGTATCCGCCCCGAGCCCCAAATGACCCGTTTTGCACGTAGTCCTTTTGTGGCAAAATAGGTAAAAGAATCAAGGCCTTTCATACTAAGCATGAACTTACCCTTTCAGAAAGCTAATATCAAATTCAGCGTCATTAGAGTTAATGATACCCTTCCAAATTAAACTAATCTCTGATCCAAGATTATTGATGAGTTCTTGAAAATGATGGTCCTTGTGAGACAGCGTTAACTCTTGCTCTACTTTGATCAGTTTTTCATAATTGCAATATTTAAGAATACGGCTGGTTGATTTTACTTTGTGCTTTGATAGTTTCTTCCCACAATCATAGAATGTGTACAACGCCATGGCAAACACCAACTGGGGACTGAAAAAACAGATGAAGAAAACCTTGAATAAACTAACATGTAAATGTGGAAAATAATATTAAAAAAAACTTGATGATACAAATCTGAAAAGATAATATTCTAAAAAAGGAAATTTAAAAATCTAAATAAACACAAACAAATACATAGTTTTTTCAAAGTAGCTGAGAGTTCAGTGATATGATCATTTTGCCTTCATCAAATTTTGATGCAAAACTTGGTTGTTATTCTAGGTTTTTTTCAGTCTCTGGAAAGGTCTGTAATAAAGTATCTTACGCTTTAATTTAAAATCGTAAGAGTAACACTTGACGCATAACGCCTGAAGTGCAAAGCGGTCAGGGGGCATAACCTACTAGTATACATTAAAATTAAATGGCGTGCATAAAATATCTGTAAACTTTGACAAGAGACACAGAGACATCCCTCATTTACTATGCTGCGTTACCATTCTCAGGAGAGAAAATGTCGGGCATTTGGGCATACCTGTTAATGTTTCATCCTTAAAAGGCAAAACATGAGATGCCTGACAGGGAATAAAGGAATATTCAAGGGGAAAATACCTCACACAGCAGCTCTTCTTTCAGTGTTTTGAGCCTCAAGCAATCTCATCGAATCGTCGATTGCACAGTAAATACTCATTTTGAAAGGCAGAAAAAATGTGAGTCAAGTCGAGTGGGTTCACGAGGGTAGTCCAGAAAGTAAGTTTACCTGCTCAATATCTTCTAAATTAAGATAGATGGAGAAAATCTGTAAAAAGCATTGAAAAGCAACTACTCTCAGCTCTCTAATGTGCCATAGATTTTGAAATTTGGTTCTACCAAACTCTAGAAAAGTATGTTTTTCTGAACCCATCACCTCTCTGCATGGGTCCAAAAATTCACAGAGCTTCATCCGCAAGTGAGTCGCTGTATCAGGATTGACCTTGCTTCCTTTAAAATCAATTGTATCCGAGCAAAAGTTTACAGAATTGTCAACGTTAATTCTCACTTGCTGACTGTAGCTCGGAAAAAAAAGGTTTAGACCTCGAGCCGTTACCTATCTATATTCTATCGCCACCACAGCATAGTCCAGGGTGCGTAGAATCCGAAAAGCAGATGGGCGTAATGACAACCTTTACGCCTATAGGCTGTTCTTGGTGAGGTGTCCTCAACTATGAGTAAAGATGGCAAATTCTTCATAAATATAGGTTTGTAATTATAATCGCAAGACCTACAGAAAAGGATTTTTGAAAGTGATCAGTAGGAGTTTCTCATTGTGATTAAAGTAAATCGAAGGGTCTGTAATGAAAGAGTGCATCAGATCATGGAAATTGAGAAAGACATTGTATCTGATGTCAAGATCTAATCTGACCAAACCTAATGCTGCCATTAAATTCTAACCTAATTCTCACTTAATCTCAATACCAAAGCTACTCCGTATAGTTATGTTCATAGGATGAAAGACCGAAGACTTCCAAAGATACATGATTAAGAGTTCCTTCTGGAAGATCCGAGAAGTTGTTGCGGAGGAGTTGGCTTTCCCCTGCATAACTCATTAGCAAAGCTGCTGCTTCTGGTCCCAAATATTCAAACTGATTTCATAAAATGCTGGCGAGCTATCGACTCATTAGAGCTAAAATCAAATGGGCTGGTATTTGAATCAGTTAGTCAGATCTGAACTCAAACCATGGTGGTCGCTTACTAACTCAAGTCGATGAGATCTTAGAAAAGAAAAATTTAAGGAGCGGAATGAATGAATCAGAATCACGAGTTCTCAATGTTGAGTCTGCACCATCCAAACACCCCCCCCCCATATTTATTAGCAGACATCGTTCTAAGACACAGATCTAAGAAAAGAAAAAATTAAGGNGGGGGGGGGGGGGCTGTCAGGGTTGGCAGAATTAAGCTTGAGAACTTGTGATTTTGATTCATTCATTCCCTCCTCTTAGAACGATGTCTGCTAATAAATATGGGGGGGGGGTGTTTGGATGGTGCAGACTCAACATTGAGAACTCGTGATTCTGATTCATTCATTCCGCTCCTTAAATTTTTCTTTTCTTAGATCTCATCGTAAAACAACATGAGTGCGATGTATCACGGCATTTATGAGACTTGTGATGTTTAATACCGTACACTTCAGAGAAAACATATTTATACATTGACTGCCAATGCACAGTCACTCGCATGTCGTGTATGTCGACTATGCGAAACTTCAAAACATGTGGGCTTGAAAAAAAAGCTCATAAAAGTCAGTATTTTCAATTATTTCTGGGAAGAAAAATTCTGAAGAACGATGTCTGGTGATAAAAATAGAGAGGGGGAGGGTGTTTGGATGGTGCAGACTCAACATTGAGAACTCGTGATTCTGATTCACAGCTCAAATATTTTCAGACGTTAGATAGCAGTCGAAGTTTGGAAGTCGCATCCTCAAGCGCAAATATCATTCCAAGAATTCATAAGAGAATGGGTCGTCTGTAGGTGCATGATCTTAGAATTATTAATACCAACACATATGATCCACTTGCAACTCTCCTAAATATTTATTACATAGGCATGATCCTAAAAAAATGGCGCAAAACCAGCTAAACGCGAATTTTTCTCCAATTTCATAAATAACATGTGGCACCACTGCGCCACAGCGGGAGATAAATACATAAATAGATAAACATGCATAAACTTTCTAGTAATGTGGCCACTGCATGTGAAAAATAAAGGTTTCTGAACTTACGGAATGAGCTCGACGAGGAACAGCCTCCGAATTCTAAAATACTAGGTTTTCCGTGAATTCAGGCAATTAAATCTGGCAACACTGGCTTTTTTGGAGGGCTTTAAATCCAAAAAAGTTTATAGAGGAAGGTTATGACCACCAACGTCTATTTTCTGCCGAAAATGTTAAATTCTGGCATAAGATGAGTCGCTTTTTTAAGCCGTTTTAAAAAATGATGAAAAACAGGAAAATTCTAAAAAGTTTATTTTAACTATGAGCGCAAAGTTTGAAATCGACGAAAATTGGCCAAAGTGACTCTCTTACATCCCTAATGAACATACTTGGAGGACTTTTTTGTCCTCCGAAGGGATCGGTGTGAAACAGCGCGTCGAATGCCGAAAAACCCGCATTTTTCGCCAAAATTGGCCTGCCGACCCATGTTTAAGGCCAGTGGTAGACCCCGAAATAGATCGGAAATGACCAAACCATGATGCACTCCGTAAAATATGGACATTCAATAACCAAAAAATCGCAGAGTTGAGGAATTTCACGGTGGGCCCAAAAAAGGCCCGTAACGATACCCCTCCTTTCCCAGTTTTAAATTTGTTCTGCAATAATTTGAGCTGGACTTATGATTTTTTTGAAAAAAGGTCGAATTTGACCTTTGATGTATCATAACTCAGTCAAGAATTAAGATATTGTTTGCGGTTTGCGCCGAGATTCTTGGTTTATAATGTTCTTTCCAATGACGTACACAAGGTAGGGGTTAACGTTTGAAAGAAAAAGTGTTGGGCCCCCCCCCCCCACTGAGGGAGGGGCCAACATTTTGAGCCCCTTAGAAGATGGTCCCCTCTAGATTAGAAACATTCCGAAAGTTTAGTTTTTGCATCTTGAACGGTTCAAAAGTTACTGGAGGGAAGTGAGACAGATGAAACACCCTTTGTAGTGACCCAAGGTGGCAAATTTTCATCCAAAATTCATGAAAAACACCTTGACATGAGGGAAAAGAGGTTGAGCAGAGCGTTCAAAAGTGTGTTATGGAGGTGCAACCCTGCATTACAGGTGCGTTAGGAGGACCGGGGAGTCGAAATGTCCAATTTTCACCGTTACGTAATTTATTAACAACCCCTCTCAGACTATGACTATCCTTTGAGAAAACCACTTTCTGCCATTGAAATCAGTAAGTTCATCATGTTTTGATCGAAAAAAGGAGTTTATGAAAAGGATATCAAAAACTGTCATTCATTCGGGCAAAATTCACGATATTAAACATGATGGAGTGCTCAGCGGGAGTTCTCTACATAAAAATAGAAAATACTTTAGCGTACATATTTTCTCGTACACACATTAGCGTACATACTTTCACAGACACACAATAACATACTTTAGAGTACATACATACAAGTTTTTTCATGTATGAAAAGCGGGAAACTCTGTGTCATTTGATAGTTCTAATGACATTCTTGTAATTCTGGTGACACCTACATTTCTGCACTATTTGTTAACTTTATCAATAAAGAAAAAATTAGGGAATTTTTCAAGGATAGTCTTAAGAGTGTATCTAACAAGAATTCGTGTCAATGATGTTTGAAAAAAAAAAAAATCATCAGGACAATGAGGAAAATAATACCTTAAAAAACCTCAGAAATTGACATTCCATCACCCGAAACTCCTTCATCTGGTGTCCCAACGGATATTTCTTGCATTTCCTATCATAAAACTACCGATCTTAAAGTGCTTTTTGCTTTCCCTAATGTGTAAAAGTTAAAATCATGAAAAGTAAGGCAAAGTAAAAAGCGTCACCGGAATTAAAACTGAGCACGGTTTTCTGACCATAAAACTCTTTTCACCATCAAATAAAAAACATTAAAATGCGTGAAAAGATATTATGTATTCTCATAGATGGATGTACACGGCTTCAGAAAATATTTGGTTTTCATAGTTTCAGGGACTTTTTTTAAAAAATTTGGCCACCTCAATTCTCCCGCTAAATAAAATCAATCATCAGTTAATCATTTCCTCTCTGGTATATGAGAACCAGCCGTTTTGACTGATGGCATTTATCCTCTTTGTCTACTGCTTGGTCTATCAATTTCAATAATGAGCCTGCTGAAGGGATTTGGGGGAACTGGGGACTGTTTGTGGGTTAGGACACTTTAAACATTGTTCCTCAAGTATGACCCCTCAGCCTTACTGAACTTACTTATCATCACAAGCTAATGGCAGGATCATATTCTCCGATTCTCTTATTATCGAATCTTGAAGACACTGGCGAACAACAGTTTTTGTGAACTTTAAGACTTCATCTGGTTCTAACTCTGGTAAGAGGGTATCAACATTTTTGGTAAGCCACTCAAACCGAGCACTATTCAATAGGTATCGAGCGGCAATACATCTAGGTCCATCCTTGTCTTCTCCGTCAGTGTAGATCCCTTCAATTTCATCTTCTAGTAAGGGCAAAGCTTGAATCTTTTGCAAAACCAGGGAATGCTGAAAATGAAAGAGAAAACATGTTTCAAGGAGTAAATAGCCAAAAAGAATAGCATAATAATCATACAAAAACTATCAACCCAAGGAGTGTGCCCTTGGCAGATGACCCTTACAATCCTATATTGTAGTGAACCCATGATTATTCAAACGCGAAACTATCTGAACTAGTTTTAACTCTGCAGTCTTTCAGAGAGTTATCCTAGATGCCCTTCTACATCATTCTTTTCTTCCACTTTCATGTAGGTACTTACCCAGTTTTCCCTGTCTAAGTCCCTTTCCCTGATACCTTTCTAAAAGGTTTGCTATGCAGTAAGTCTTTTCAAACTTTAGTAAACATTAGAACCATTGACATTGACTTTTCATTTAATTCATGAAGTTTGACTATTTTTTACGTGAATACTATTTTTTACAGATTATACGAACTTATGATTTTCTAAACCATCTGACTGTCACATTAGATCAGATAATCTGATGTTTATTGTAAATTATGGAATAAGCCGTGCACTGCCTTTGTCCCAAATTTCTCAAATGAGCTTGAAAATACCCACCAAAGTATCTTTGCACACATCAAAACCAAAATTAATGACTCGTTGTGCAATAAGGTTCCAATGATAATCCGACAGGTATTGGTGAATATAAGTAAGATTAGTAGGACTGCTGTCAGTCTGTTTAGGAACTCTTATTCTTGCATCCACATATCTTATCATGAGAATTTCAATCTCTCCCCAAATCGAGCATAAACGTAAAAAAGCAACCATCAGCCTCTGATTCTGAAAAATATGAGAGAGATCATAGAATTAAAATACTGATTTTTATCAGAAACGGGAATTTGCAAGATAAGTAAAGAGAGCAATTTTCTTTTGAATACTGATCAAAGTTATTATTATTTCTTAAACGAAATGAGAAGATTGGCCAAAACAAGATTGTCTAATGTGCATTCTTCATTAAACGGACCAATTGAGTCATTTTTGGTAGAATCAATGGGAAAAAAATATTCAATTTTAAAAAAAAATACAGTAGTTCAAAAGTTTGGGAGCCACCGATGTGATTTTAAAACCTGCTGCATTTTAGAAAGAGTTGACTATCAAGAATCAGTGAGAAAATCGCAGACCAGCGCTTGATTAGCTACCTCACAGCTGTGAAGTGTTTGTCAATTTAATTGTAGATTTTACGGAGATCTTCTAATTTTAGTAATTGGATTCTCATTGAAATTAGTTATCTCTGACTATTTGAAGAAGTAGAAGAAAATATTAAAAAATGAGTTTTAGTTCTCCTTATACGAAGGCTGTTCCCAAAGTAGGTTTCCCCATTTTATTTCTCCGAGAGGATTACAGCTGGAACAAATCTGTGAAGACGGGTTTATAGGAAATGTTTTCAGCTTTTCAACAAGCTATAGCTCTTTAAATTTTTATCAGCGGCTGCCAAGATAAAGAGGTTGTCCGGCATGCACCTCTTCGCTCTGCAGATACCTACAGATAATTGCATTATTGGAGCAGACATTATTCGCTCGGTAAAAGTAAGTTTAATTGAAAGACACACATAAGCTACATAAGCTTTCCTTATTTTTTGACATAATCTCCTCCAATGTTTAAGCACCTAAAATATTTCGATGCCAGCTTTTTTATTCTCTCTGTATAGAACTCAATCGTCAGACTTTGAAGCCATAAATCAACAGCATTTTTGACTTCTTCATCATTGGTAAAGTGCTTACCGCCGAAGTCCAACTTGAGTAGTGTAAACAGAATTGAGTGCGAGATCAGGAGAATAAGGAGGGTAGGGGAAAATTTTTCATTGTTTAATCAAGCTCGAGTATCTGCTTCATCATGTGTTATTGTTCAGCGCTGAGACTTGTTGCGTCAAGTGTCCAGGCCGTTTCCGCTTGATCCATGTTTTAAGTTTTTCCCGAACTTCGCAATATTTTTCAGCATGTTTTGTCTCACGGTGAAGCAAATGCTCATCCAATAATATTCCATCAACATCCCAAAACACTGTTACTATGATCTTACGTGCTGACAAGAATTTTCTTTGCGAATTCAACAGTGCGATAACTTTGACCCGCCGTAGGGTGTTTCTTATTTTTTAAATTTTCGAATTCTATGGAGGTCCTGGTCTTAAAAGTTGATGTGTGGATGGATTAGAAGCCTCTCTTAGAAGTCGCAGACAAAATCAACAAACCCATACAAAAATCCAAAAAATGTCTGATAAACATTTTGAGGGTCTAAATATTTAAGTAAACTGATGAATTTTTTTTTTTTAGTCAATTAACTTTGAATTGTTTCATTTGTTGAAATTGATTTTCCCTCATATATCCAATACTTTACTAGGAAAATTTGTCTTTTTGATGTATTTTTATACTCCAACTGTTTTTTAGCGTCATATTGGATCCAGATCAGTTCATATTGATGCGTTGCAACAGACGGGAATTTCGGGCCCGCTTAAGCTTGGTCCGTGCGTGCGGCATGTCGTATAAGCAGTGGAGAGGACGCGCGCGCGTTGCGCTACGGCGCGGCTTTGCTCGCTTTGTTCCTAGTGTATCTCATTGCGCGCGCCATTCTAGGGTGTTTTACAGCATTTATATTGCACATACGACCAAACGGACCCTTGAGGCCCTTAACTCGGCGTTTTCCATGGGAAAGCAGTGTTATTTTATCTAGAAACGTCAAATTTCAACCTGTGTCACTTAAGTCGTTTGAGCACCAGGTAAAAATCGTGCTTAATTTTTTACGAGGCTTCTAATCTATCCACACATCAACTTTCAAGACCAGGACCTCCATAGAATTCGAAAATTCAAAAAGTAAGAAACACCTTGACCCGCAGAATGAAGAGGTACAAGTGGAAAAACCTCAATATGTTGGCAACCGCTGATAGTAATTCTAAGAACTATAACTCGTTGAAAAGCTGAAAACACCCCATAAACACAGTTTCAGAGATTTGTTCCAGTCGTAATTCTTGAGGAGAAATAGAAAAGGATAACTTACTATTGGAACAGTCCTGTTATTTGCAAGAAAAAAGGCGAGAAAATAAACCTTTATCAAGTTTCTCACCAGGGTATCTATAGTCTACATTACGAAAAAAAGCAGCTGAGGGGCAAAGTCAGGTGAGCGGTTCTATCTTTTGTCTTAGGGTTGATTGGTTTTGGTGAGCTTCGGGCCTTTGAATGTTCCAATACACCTACGTTTCGACCCTTGAATGATAGATATGGGCTAGGCACTCACCTGACTCCACCCCTCAGCCGCCGTTTTTCAAGTCAACTACAGCATGACTTTCTATCCCTTCTCCCTGACTTCCAGGTTTTCCCTGACCCTTAGATTTTCCAACCTCCTGACTTTACCTGATTCTCTTTGAAATTTCTTTCCTAGTCAAAAGAATCGGAAAATTCAACATGGCTTAGGGGAAGATACCCATGCGGTTCGGCAGGAGCTCGAATTTCTAATAGGAAAACCCACTACTGGCTGGGTGAGAGGGTTAGAGAGGTTACAAATTGAAGTTTCATACAGTTATGCCAAAAGACATTATTGCAGAAGATTGCATGANGGAAATACGAGGTTTCGCACTTTAGCATCAACATTTAATTTAATTTTTTACTATGTTTCATTTTCGTGTCTCAAATCCTCAAACTAGCCTCAAACCTTGAAAAAGCATTACCTCCACCTAAAATATTTGTTTACAACACTTTCCTGCATAGATGCGCATTCTTCTGACAATCGGACAATCGGATTCCGCTTTTGCCGTGTTTTCGAAACTTACATTTCGTGCGCATCGCGTGTTTCTATACGATATTACCCAGTCCGGGAGGGGGGGGGCGGCAAAATTTTTTGGGCACCGGGCGGCAAAAACCTAAATCCGGCTCTGTGCATGACTCTCCTGGTTACGCAATTCTTATCTTGACTTTCTCGGTTTACCTGGTCACTAGACAACCTACCCACTGCCAGAGTCACGAATCGTATCAACTCATGCACCAAGGTGAGATCTTCTGAAGAAGTCTTCAAACCATGCATGCGGTTCATCAATGATATGGATTACTAGGGGGCCCTGCCCCCTGACCGCTACGCGGCCCAACCCCTGGGAGGGCGCCTCGCGCCCTCAGGCCCGCTTCGCGGGCCCTATACGCATATGTATAGGCAAAAATGTTCTTCCATTTTAATACACCATTTTTTGTTCAAGCTGCGTCAATTTCAAAATTTTTGACTTAACACTCAGATTTGTAAATGATGAGGAATAGCTGGATGTACATAATTTCACAGTCCACTTACTGGAGAAATTTCCATTTACTATGTTATTTTTAAACATAACTTAATTTTAAAAAAAAATCAATTTCGACCGCTAAGAGTTAATAATATTTGGTCCGTCCCGACGCGACGCAGCGCCTGCCTTCTCACTTTGTATCTGCTGTAAATATTAATAGAAATTCAGCAATCAAGTAAATTGACCAATGCCACAAATCGAAGCCGAAAGAATGCCGGAAAAATTGAGCTAAACCTTGTACCTTGGACCTTGAACCTTGAGCCCTGAGCGATGCACTGTTCCTCAACTCTTCGAATGAGGAGCCCTTCACGAGCTTATCCATTGTTTTATTGTTTATTCGAGTCACTCGGGTAGAATCCCACACCTTGACTTGTCTAGCGGAAACGACATATCTCTCACGCTATTGACATTGGACTTAAGTGACATGAGCTTTAAAAGCTCTACAACATTAAAAGTTCGGGGTTTCATAATTTTTTGCACATCTATATCTACTACAGATGACATACATGTAAAGATCATCCTTATCGGTCCGGCAGTTCGTCAGAAATAGTGCTTCCAAGATTTTGCTTGTAGCTGTATAATATAGATTACTCATAAAAAAAAGAGTAGTGTAATAATAAACTGATAGTAGTTGTGCTTGCTCAGCACTGAATTCAGCAAATATAAACACATTTTGTAAACACTGTAAGTATCCCGCTAAAAAATAGACGAACTGAGCAAATTAATATTTTTTCTGATTTCACAGATTGAGCAGAATAAAAGCACATCATGAGTTGGGGTTCACACAGAAAACTTTGACAGAGGGGAGCGGAATTCTCCTCTCCGGGAACTAGAGAAATTCATCGATCTGTCTGCCACATTTCATGCAATAGGTGAGGTAATCTCTTACATGCTTTTTGCTGAGAAGAGCCTTTCCAAAATTAGAGAGAAGTCTTGCAATGTCATTTATTTTCTCCTGGTGACTTTGGCGCAGAATCTCCGGCACATTCTGATCTGCCAATCGAGTACCTGTCAGGATACAGCAGTATACTTCACAGAGAATTTCACCCAACAGTATATGATTATCGTCTAGATAAAAGGGAGCAAAAATAAGCATCAAATTGAGTCAAGAGAAACGTAAGTTTTGATGTATAAGGAGAGGGCTAGGATTAAACACTAGTATTTTACAAGGTGATTCCCCGAGCCAAAGCAAGACATTTATCTTTCTAATCAACATGCATCTAGAAGTTGAACCCCTCCAGGCATCAGTCTCTCAAGATTCAAAAATAATGTCTCATTTTCGGATTACCGGCTTTATTTTAGACCAACTGCCATAGGATTTCGTAGTTAGCATTGATTTTCCATGCCAATTACAAAGAAAACTGTACAGATTTCAAAGATTGGGCGCTGGCTTTGTAGAATTTTTTATGTGATCTGATCATTATTTAATCCATAAACTTTTTAAGTTTAACTTCACTGTTATATAGGTATACAGGGTTATTCAAAAGTTACGCACCACTGGCCATAACTTTAGTTCTAATTACGATATCGATTTGCGGTTTGTGGCGTCCTTCCTCATATCGAGGGGGAAACTTTTTGAGGTACTTTTCAGTTCTTCACCCCCCCAGGGGGAGGGGGGGCGGGGGGCAACTCAAAAATTTCAAATGGCAACCCCCATCATGTGATACATCGTTAGAAAGAGCATGAAAAAAGAAAATTTTTGGCGCAAACCGGAAGTCGATCTGACCCCCCTGTCAAAAGTTAGGGGGGTCCAAAGGTTATTTAGGGGGTCCGTACCTTCATTTTTTAGAGTAGCTTCGGCGGCTCTTGGACATACCGTTTCTCTTTTCAAAGAGTCCTCGAATACTCCAAGTCTGATACCGAAGTCTTCATATTGCCCCCGGGCCACCACAGCCCCCCCGTAGGGGGGGATGGGCCTGTTACAATGAAACATTGCATTAAAATGCGAAAAGTCACAGAAGAGCTTCAAACTTAGCATCAAATCCGAGTGGAACTTCTTGCCAATGTTAACGCAAACGCAGCCTGCGACTTTAAAGTGAGTTTTCAAAACTCTTAGCCCCCTGCCCCCCCTCATTTTTGGTTGCAGAGCGGGTAAAAACCGGGAAATTCACTACAAATAATGCCCGAAACTAATGTCCAACTTGAGGAGGACCCTTGAAACGTTGCGATCAGTCGGAGCATTGAAATACAAGGACTGCCACCCCCTTAAAGTACGGAAACATCCAAAACACCCCCGCTGCCCCCCTCATTTTTCGTTGCGGAGCGGGTAAAAACCGGGAAAATCGCCAGAAATGATGCCCCGGTTCTTACCAGCTCTGCAACGAAAAAAGAGGGGGGCAGCGGGGGTTTTATGGGTGTTTCCGTCCTTAAAGTGGGCGGCAGTTCCTGTGTTGCAGTTCTCCGACTGACCGCAACGTTTCAAGGGTTCTCGTCAAGTTCTACAGTGGTTTCGGTCATCATTTCTGGCGATTTTCCCGGTTTTTACCCGCTCCGCAACGAAAAATGAGGGGGGCAGCGGGGGTGTTTTGGATGTTTCCGTACTTCAAGGGGGTGGCAGTCCTTGCATTTCAATGCTCCGACTGATCGCAACGTTTCAAGGGTCCTCCTCAAGTTGGACATTAGTTTCGGGCATTATTTGTAGTGAATTTCCCGGTTTTTACCCGCTCTGCAACCAAAAATGAGGGGGGGCAGGGGGTAAGGGCTTTGAAAACTCACTTTAAAGTCGCAGGCTGCGTTTGCGTTAACATTGGCAAGAAGTTCCACTCGGATTTGATGCTAAGTTTGAAGCTCTTCTGTGACTTTTCGCATTATAATGCAATGTTTCATTGTAACAGGCCCATCCCCCCCTACGGGGGGGCTGTGGTGGCCCGGGGGCAATATGAAGACTTCGGTATCAGACTTGGAGTATTCGAGGACTCTTTGAAAAGAGTAACGGTATGTCCAAGAGCCGCCGAAGCTACTCTATAAAATGAAGGTACGGACCCCCTAAATAACCTTTGGACCCCCCTAACTTTTGACAGGGGGGTCAGATCGACTTCCGGTTTGCGCCAAAAATTTTCTTTTTTCATGCTCTTTCTAACGATGTATCACATGATGGGGGTTGCCATTTGAAATTTTTGAGTTGCCCCCCGCCCCCCCTCCCCCTGGGGGGGTGAAGAACTGAAAAGTACCTCAAAAAGTTTCCCCCTCGATATGAGGAAGGACGCCACAAACCGCAAATCGATATCGTAATTAGAACTAATGTTATGGCCAGTGGTGCGTAACTTTTGAATAACCCTGTATATGTATGGAAAAAAAGTATAAGAAGAGAAGAAGTCACATTGTCAGAAATTTTGGAGTGAAGTGTGAGGTTGGCGTACATGTAGTCATGAAAGGATGAAAATGAAGTTCACTCAAGGTAATGTCTTGTACAGTATCGAGCAAAATTCACTTCACACCATAGTTGACTTGACCTTAAATTGATATAACTCCTACTTTAACTCTTTCACGGTTTCTGCAGAAATTTAAAAAATAATTCCAGACTTGCACAAGACCCTCGGAGTATTTGTGCAAGTCACGATCTATATTTATTGGCACTTTTATTTACATCGACTCAATATTCGTGAAAATTGCTAATAAATGAAAGAATCGATGTTATATGTGTACTGTCAGCAAAAAATATTTCTGCCTCACAACAAACTTTGACTTGCGTGGTTAATAGATGAAAAATTGCTCCCCTGATAATACACCACAGTGAAACTTTAGTTTTCAAAACTTTTAGCAGATCACTGAGATTTTTGGGCTGATGTTGTCAATAACTTAATTTTGACCTAGTTTTTTTTAAAACTAAAAATCTAGGCATAGAATACAGCTGACGGTTGCCTGGAGATCAGAATTAATTAGAATTAGAATTATTAATTAGAATGCAACCACTCAAGAAAATCACCGGTCTGTGAAAAAAGAAGTCATAGCTTTGTCCGGCGTTCTGCTCAAGCGCCAGCGCCTCTTCCCGCAAATCGCGTATTCTTGGGATTTTCAGCGTGGGAAAATCGGGTTTTTATCATTACCAGCGATAATATGACATCATTTTGTAAAAATGTACCAAAAAAATGATTAGGTAACCAAAATTTAAAATGCTGTGCTTCTTTTTATGCATGATGAAACCAGTGCTCCTTAAAGTCTGATCCAATGCAGAGAAATGAGTTAAAAGAGAATGACAGTGCTACTATCAACCCTTATTTAAGTTTAAACAACCATTAGTACAGTGAAAGCAAAACGTACCGATTTGGGACTGGGAATCTTGCAAGGAAATGACGAATTTATCGAGGAAAAAGTAAAGCTTGTCCAATGCAGCAGATGTTGAGGTACTTTGTAGCATACCCAGAGTGACACAAAATTTTGAAATAAACGCTGGTGGCAACACATGTTGCAGTGTTACAGATCTCATTTTAAAATTACATTCAGTTGAAAGAGCATTGGTGGTGAACATTAAAAACTGGAAAATAAATTTTGGGATTCTATGCGACTTGCGAAAATTTTGAAGCACTTGTTCTAACAACTGAACATATAAAAACTCAATATTTTTATCATCCTTTTGTCTTAAAGCAATAACTTCCACAAATGTGTGTAAGCTGTCATCGATGCAAGTAGGATATAATGAGAAAACAGTGTTCAGAAGCTTTAACTTTTCAGGTGATGTCGTTTTATCTATGGATTTAAATAGATGCTTAAGAAGCTTGCTAAGCCAAGAGCTAAAGCCAGATATTTGCCCAGAGGTGACGCCAATGATCTGGCACTCGGAAAGGATATTTAAGATGTTTTTGTAAACTGCAATGTAAGATTCTATAGATATGGCTGGAGTGCTATCATCAAAAGCTGGCTTTTTAATGAATGAGGAAGTTACAATACACACATCAAGGATGTCGCTAATCTTCAATTTTTTTACTTCAGGGAGCTCAATAAAAATAGTAAGGAACAAAGTCCAACCACTTTCTACCGTACTTTGAGCATTGAATTTTAAAGTTTTAAAGAGAATAGAAAGCTGATGGTCTTCGTCCTCTTGTTCTACATCACTTTCAATATACTTCTTGAGATGAGTGGATAAAGTAACGGAATTCGAATAGTCCGAAAACATAATCTGGAAAAGAAAGAAGACAAAGGAAATTCAATGAGTAGTCAAGAGTGAGATTGTTGCGTTAAACATTTTTTTCTCAAAGTGCCTCAAGAAAACCACCTCACTAACACAAGTTCACTCTAAGAATAAATAAGATAGGATGAAGTAAGTTGAAGCCTCAAATGCTGAGGTTCAGGGGTCTCGCAAAATTTGCATGTAGAGACGCTGCAATGTTAAAATTGCATCAGCATTCACACATCTCTACATGAAGTGGAACAAGGCATTCATGTTGGCAATAGACCATCAGATAAGGTACGAATTTGAGAATCATTATTATACACTTCGAAGCATTCAGATTTTCAGTTAATGGACCACTAGACAAGGTACAAATTTCAGCATCCTAACACATGTGTCTTAACCAAAATGTCACGTAGAACACGATGCGCACAACGAAAATTGCCGAAATCAATACACGACGAAGATATATAATGATTCTTAATCCGTGAATTCAAGCCATCCGCTCATGAAAACTCAATGCTCCCCGTGATTCACATCGCTCGCTAAACGTTATCATGACAGTCTCTGCGATATAAAAATCTGGCAACCTCGATCTTGACACTTTGGCTCAGCTATAGCAAATTGCTTATAGTTTGAACAACTCATTGTGGGAAATGAACATTGCTCGATTGAGAAACTTACTGAAACGGTTGTAGTGCGTGATTTGACTCATGTAGAGCTTTGAGTTTCTTGTCAGTGTGCAGTTCAAATTCCTCGTAACCAGTGTGTAATAAAAACGTCAAAATCTTCGTTAAGAGTTGGTTTCAGTAATTTTTGTTGTGTGAATCGTGTTTTACATGAAATTCTGGTTAAGAAACATGAATCAGATTGCTTGAATTCGTACCTTGTCTAATGGTCCATTCCACCTTTTTCTATTTCACTCGAGACGTTGCCAGATAATGCGATAAATGTGAATATTTTACATGGATTTGAATAGGGAAAAGTGCTGAAAAAGAAACTTATCTGGCAACAGTAGAGTCTGAGAGGGACAGAGGCTGCCTTCTTGGGAAAACCCATGATTTAGCCAGAAATGTAATTAAAACAAATTGATTCCCTTTGAAGCATCAAATGTATACTGGGGCAAAGCCCTTTTAAAATAATAATTGTAAATGGACACAGATGCTACAAAAAAGGGAAAAAAAAGGAAAGGAAATGAAATGAGGATACAATTACTTATGCAATCAGAGAGCATAAAACAAAAACATCAGAGGAAATATGCAATGAAAGAAAAAAAAACAAAAAAAAAAAAACAACATAAGTGGGCTCATAGGTATTTGGAACTCGAACTATACTATCGTTGAGCAGTTTTTAGATCCCTACGCCACCGATAATCTTCTTAAGAAGTAAAGATGAACTTTTACTACTTCAGCAAGTTAAATCACGGATGGAGATCCACGGTTGTCACTTCCCTCCACCCGATGGGACTAACGTCCCGGTCAAATGCGTTTTTGAAGAAATGATCGATCCCCATCATCATGGGGATCATCATTGCCTCATCTTCACATATTTATTAATATGCAAGTGATGGCACGCTCTGGTAACAAGATTCTGTGACAAAATCATTTTTGTCTTGAGAGTCTCCAAAATGACTCATGAAAAACTCTCACTCAAAACTCTCTCACTCTCTCTCTCTCTCTCTCTCTCTCTCTCTCTCAAATCTCTTGACTCTGACTTCAAAATGTCATCATACTGATCAAATGTCCAACTGATTAGAAAAATTTATCCAAATTTCACTCGCGTAGCAAATGACCAGGATATCAGGGGGCGCAGCCCCTTGGCTAGCTGTGACAGACGCGCAAAGCGCGTTCAGAATGGCTGATCCTGATATATGTTTCCTCTTCAAAATTTCACGTAGAACACGATTTGGGCAACGCACATTACAGTGAAAGCACAATATGCCACATGTGCACTCTCATCAAAGAAAGAATATTTTGAACGAACAAAAATTCCTAAAAAAACAATGTGGAGACTCTAAAAATACTGAGAAAACACAAGACAGATACAGCTGGAGCTCTCATGAATTGAAATTAAATTTTTCGAAGCTCCTATTAAATGAGACTCGTCGGACTGGAAAGAGTATCTAATAATGGGGGGGGGGAGGGGAGGGAGGAATATGGAAAGCAAACAAAGTATGTACTTCCCACCTCCTTGAGATAAGATTTACTCCTTCAATTTTGAAATTAATAGCACACAAATAACATAAAAACATACCTGGCTGATACAATTTAGTAACCGTTCATAAGCAATGGGTTGTTTCTGACTTTTCTCTGTAAGTGAAATTCTCTCATACAAACAGACTAATGGTATATACAATCTTTTGATGGATTCCACTTCGAACTTGTGCTTTGAAAAAGTTAGATCTTTCATGTTTGTTAGGTGGTGAAGAGTGTTCAAGAAAAAGTCTATTAGTTCAAATACTGCTCCATGCTCAGATTTCAATAATGAATTTATGTATGATGCCATAAGATCCACATAAAATTCTACATGACTTAGGAGATATCGATCGAAATGAGGATTCTCCAATAAAGAGAACAATAAAGTAGTGTATTTTTCTGCATGACAGGGACGGTTCTCAAAGAGTTTTGACAAGGCCTGAAAAGAAAAAGAAACAAGGTTGATAGCTGAGAAAAAAAAATAAAAATACAAAAATAAAAATACAACAATTAAAATAAAGAAATAAAAATACAAAAAAAATAAAAAAATAAAAATACAAAAATAATAAAAAATAAGAATAAAAAATAATAACAAATTAAAATAAAAAAAAATTAAAATAAAAAATAAAGAAAATAAAAATAAAAAATAAAAATAAAAAAATTAAAATCAAGAAATAAAAATACAAAAAAAAAAAATAAAAAAAATAATCAGTGTCTACGCGTCAGTGTAATCAGTGTTAACTTGAGTTAAATCTAATCTCCAAACCAATCTCTATATACTTTACAATAGAGTACTGTTCTCTGTACTATCTTTTCTTTTTTTAAGAGGATGAAAGGTAGGTACTTTGTATCAGAGGAGGAAGGGGATATAGATGAACCCAAGATTCAGTTATTTGCCAAAAGCACACTTTGATTTCAATGCCTAATTTGGACTTCGTTGATTATGGCTTTTTCGCGAACAGGAAGTTCGAATTTACTGCTTACTGTTGAGTTACAAACGCTTATTTTACACTAATAGGGTAATTTAAAAAGTTTTCCACGTGTTTAACATACAGGGTGAGCGAAAAGTCCCCGACCCCCCCTCTAACTTTTGAACGAATTGAGCTAGGGAAATGAAACTTTGGGAATGTTCCTATCTCAAAGGGGACCATCTTTTGGGGGGTCAAACTTTTGGTCCCCCCCTCAGGGGGGGACGGGGGCCCCCCAACTTTTTTTTTTCAAATGGCAACCCCTATCTTGTGATACCTCATTCGAAAGAGCATAAAAAACTAAGAACTTTGGCGCAAACCGCAGATCAATATCTTAATTTTTGACCGAGTTATGATAGGTCAAAGGTCAAATTTGACCTATTTTCCAAAAATCATAACTCCGGTTCAAATTATCGTAAAGAAAAAAATAAAACGGGAAAATTTACCAAATTGTGTCCGCTTTTAAGTAAAAATTGCAAAAATTACTTCGATTTAATTTTAAGGGGGGGCTCGGACCCCCAAATACGCCAATTCAAAGGTCATTCAATTTTCCCGCAAAATAAGCCAATTTCCCCTGGATTTGCCTCCTCATTATCTCAGTAAGGTCAAAATCAGTTCAACATTACGTTGGCAAGTCCCCAAATTTCGGCAAAAGTTAAAAAAAATTATATTTAAACGGTCAAATTTAATTACCTTAAATATAATTTTTTTTAACTTTTGCCGAAATTTGGGGACTTGCCAACGTAATGTTGAACTGATTTTGACCTTACTGAGATAATGAGGAGGCAAATCCAGGGGAAATTGGCTTATTTTGCGGGAAAATTGAATGACCTTTGAATTGGCGTATTTGGGGGTCCGAGCCCCCCCTTAAAATTAAATCGAAGTAATTTTTGCAATTTTTACTTAAAAGCGGACACAATTTGGTAAATTTTCCCGTTTTATTTTTTTCTTTACGATAATTTGAACCGGAGTTATGATTTTTGGAAAATAGGTCAAATTTGACCTTTGAAACCTTTGACCTTTTGATAACTCGGTCAAAAATTAAGATATTGATCTGCGGTTTGCGCCAAAGTTCTTAGTTTTTTATGCTCTTTCGAATGAGGTATCACAAGATAGGGGTTGCCATTTGAAAAAAAAAAGTTGGGGGGCCCCCGTCCCCCCCTGAGGGGGGGACCAAAAGTTTGACCCCCCAAAAGATGGTCCCCTTTGAGATAGGAACATTCCCAAAGTTTCATTTCCCTAGCTCAATTCGTTCAAAAGTTAGAGGGGGGGTCGGGGACTTTTCGCTCACCCTGTAGAATCTTGGTGAGAAAACATGGGCTGTAGAGCTCAACTTTTTAACCCCTCCAGTGGTCACAGTGGTCCAGTGGCCACTAAAATTCTATAGTCTGTTTCACGTAAGCTGAGACTTTTTATTCGGCATTAAAATCCGTAAATGGCAACGCATCAGTCCCGAACGCGGTGACCTGACCGCTCGCCGGCCACCCTCTTTTGTTCAGCGACGAGAGGCCGGCAACCCGTCCATTGTGAGGGTAGGAACAATGGGGACCCTTCATCCCTCCTTAATGAGCCCTAGTACCTGGACCCAATTTTCTTTCTCGTTGAAAAATTAAACTTTTAGCGTGAAAATTCAGGTCCAGCGGGAAATTTTGATGAGAATGAACTAAAATTCCATCCGATTATCTTAATTTTTACCCGATATACGGCTCTTGTGGTTGGTCGCGATTTGGTTCGATGAAATTAAAGAATTAAGATAATCGAATGAAATTTTAGTTCATTCTCATCAAAATTTCCCCCTGGACCTGAATTTTCACGCTAAAAGTTTAATTTTTCAACGAGAAAGAAAATTGGGTCCGGGTACTAGGGCTCATTAAGGAGGGATGAAGGGTGCCCATTGTTCCTACCCTCACAATGGACGGGTTGCCGGCCTCTCGTCGCTGAACAAAAGAGGGTGGCCGGCGAGCGGTCAGGTCACCGCGTTCGGGACTGATGCGTTGCCATTTACGGATTTTAATGCCGAATAAAAAGTCTCAGCTTACGTGAAACAAACTAAAGTGCCTCTTGTACATCTAATTCTAAAATCACCTGAGATCTGTCTTTCATTTTCACAACTGTATTCCTGCTATAATTATTAACCTTTTGCATGCATTACCTTTATAATGGAGTTGGTCAAACTTGGTGATAGCCATCCATAGGCTAAACTTTTGGACTGTTCATTTAAGCAGCAATCTTTCAACACATCCAACAGAAGCAGAATTTCAGAGTCATTTTTGTTTTCGTTCTTAATTCCTTCAGTGATCCAGTAAAATACTATTTCTTCTTTCCGAGGTATTGAAACCCCCTGTAAAGAGAATATCTGGAGCCCAAGACAACATTTCTCATCAAAGTTTGTTGTTTTGGCAACAAATTGTTTCAGCAAACCTGGAAAAGAAAAACGTACAGCGTATTGACAGACTTCAAATAATTTGAGAGAATACATGAATCATGTAGTGGAGATATCTAGGAACAAGATAGAAGGAGACTTTACCTGCAAATTGCTCCATTATCTTCCGAGTTACCGTCAATAAACGTTCTGACTCACGTCAGAATTGCTGGTAGTTATTCGTTTCCCCCTTCCTTGCAGCAAGGTAAAAGTAGAAAGAAGAAAGACACCATATAGAAGATACAACTTAGAAAAAGAACCCCTTAAATGCATGTCAAATTTCTACATAGAATACGATGGTTGCATCAAAATATTAAAATCAAATCAATGGTTCCGCAAACTCGGGCACTTGGGCATAGTTTCCCTTCGACGTCTGCATTTCTTAGGAGTAGTAAATATAATCTATACTATAAGCTCCAAGACCTCCTAATTTTGCAAAACTGGTGACGCTCAGTTCCAGCGTTCTACCGGGCCGATTTTCATGATTTTTGCGGCTATCGACGGGCAATTATCTTTAGATAAGCCAACTCTTTTCAGATTTTCAAAATATGGCCCAGGTTTTTTTATATTACGTGGTAAAGTTGCGAATTCTCCCATTTGAACAATGTAAATTTACACTTTTTGTCATAGTTCGTTTGAGCGTTCTACCACGAGCGTACGAGCGTTGATTTCCATGATTTTTGCTTAAATCGACAGGTAATAGGCCCTAGATGAGCCCGCTGTAATCAGATTTAGGAAAAAGGACCCAGGTTTTTTTTAAAATCACGTTATAAAAGTCAGTGAGTTTACAGGATGCTCCGGTACTGCTACCGCTATGCGCGGGAGGATGCGCAGTGGTCGAGGAGGTTGCGCAGTAGCTGTGTAGCCTGCGCATCAGCTCTACACTTATCTACACAAGATTCGCGCCGGATACCACATGCCGAGCGGTGGCCGAGTCGTCTGAGACGTCGAATGCGTCCACTTTAAACTCGGCGTGGGTTCGATCCCTGACTCATGAGACCTTAATTTTTACCTGACTATCATTGTTCATCGTTTTACTGCAATATTTCATCAAGCAGTCATTCCAAAACGCGTCCTTTTAATTTTAAAGTAATTTTACGGAAAGTTTAAAATTAAAGTATACCTTATATCGTAATTTTTTAGGGGAAAAATAAAACTAACACTGATAGGAGAGTAAAAATAGGGCCGCCATTGATGGCGCGGAGCGCCTTCAGGGGGTTGGGCCGCGTAGCCCCCTAGTATAATAATAATGATAATAATAATCATGAGAAAAAGAAGATCAAGAACATGCTGACAGACCTCCACGCTCCTGAGTAAATTGAGAACATCGACAAAACCAAAAGTGACACCGAAAGAGTAAAACAGGCTAAGGAAAACACCAAAACTAGACTCTGGGAATGAAAAAAGAATAACTGGGACGAAAAGAAAATGCATGGCCAATTCCTTAAAGAAACAGAAAAGCCGCACATCGACAAAGAATTAACAAGGAAATGGCTCAAAAACGGAGATCTAAAGAGAGAAACCGAAGCGCTGATTACATCGTGCCAGGACATGGGCATCGCCACAAATTACCTTAAAATGAAGATACTTAGAATATCACATGATCCAAAATGCAGACTTTGGAAAACCGAGTCGGAAACAATCCAACATCTAATCTCCACATCCGATCCTAGCAAAGAAAGAATACATTGAGCGACATGATGCCATGGCAAGCCATCAGCACTAGAATATCTGCAGACACTACAACATCAAAGTAGTCGAAAAATGGTTTGAACATGAGCCAGAATTCGTTGTGCAGTCTGAGGATGTCACAATTATATGGAACATGCAAGTCCAGACACACCGCTACAATAAAACAAGCCAGATCTGATCATCAAGTACGAACGACTTATCACCTGTCTGTTGATTGACATAGCTGTTCCCTCAGATTACAAACTTGTGTAAAAAGAAGCCGAGAGAATTACGATATATAGAGGTTTGGAAATAGAAGTAAAAAGAATGCGGAAGATGAAGAAAATAATGATCACTGCCATCATTGGAGCAACTGAAGCCATATCAAAAAGTGCAGCAAAATAAATTGAAAAACTCCTAGGGAAGCATGACATCACGAAGAACAGTCCTTTTCAAAACGGCACACATTGTAAGGAAAGTCATTGGTTGAAGCTCACCCTAGAAGTATGGATTACTTCCAGTGAACCAATTCATACAATCGAAAATTCATCCGCCATGGCGTGAAAAAAGACCCAATAATAGTAATAATAAATCTGCAGGGAGGACTGTCTGTGGTCTGGGGTATTGACGCACCTCCTTTCCCGAGTTACTCTGGAAACACACACTCTATGTGCTAAGAAATACTTAATGAAAAGCCCAACCCGGGGAGCCCACCGAGTCTCTTGGCACCAGGGCGCTTAAGCTGGTGTCGTCCTACGGATCCCTGGGATACCAGGCACCGTCCCAGAGTAAATAAAGCCTTAGGTACCCGGAAAGAGGTTACAGGCGGACTCTCTTAAATCCCCAACTAACTCGTGGGAACAGATATGATAACGGATAATTTTAAAACAAGAAAAACACAAAATAACAAAGGAAAAACCGACCAATCCGATGATAATACAGAATAATTAACCCAGGCCCCTGTAAGAACACGAAAAAGAACGCCGAAACAACACAATCAGCTGAAGCAAACGCCACAGGCCCTAAGCTCATCAACAACTAGCCCTGCCGGTAAGAACACATACACCCAGACTAGGCAAGTAACAGAGCAAAAGAAGTGGACCATAGAAGAATACAAAGAAATAATATGGTGCTACTGATACATCAAAGAGAGCACGGAAAGCTGCAATATAAATGCCAGCTATGACCTTTAAAGAAAAAGGAACCCGAACATACGCCCGCTTGCTGATGCAAATAAGCTCGCCACACAAAGATGATTTGTTGAGAAACATCAAAAACTAAGTGAGGTAAAAATTGAAGAAATCATAGCTGCTGTAGCCGCAGATCAAGCAGTACAGTTTGAACCGCACTGAAAGGATAACAGAGACACTCAGAAGACCATTAACAATCAAAACTCCCCTACCACTAGAAATAATACACCAACCATATCCCTAGTGTACAGTGGAGCGAAGAGGAATACACAGAAGTTATATGGTGCCACTGGTTGATTAAGGAAAGCACAGGCATCCACAACATTAAAGCCACCTACGAGCTATGGAGGGAACGAAACCCTAATATCCGCCTACATCTCAACGCTAATGAGCTAGCCACGCAACAGAGATACATCAAGAACAAGAAAAAACTCCAGAAAATTAAAGACGATGTTCATGCCATCATAGAGGTACTAACTGACCAACACACAACTGAGAGCACACTAGGTGCTACCACAAACGATGAACATCGCCCATCAAGACGAAATGATTCAATTAACCTAAGAAAAGCTGAACCAACGCCAACCACATCTCGAACCAACAAAACCCCAAGAAGGAGTATCATCATGCGAACCAACAATGAAGTACAAGATATGCTCGAGAACAAAGAAAATCTTGACTTGGGGAGAATCAACTGCTTGCTCTACGCTGCTGGATTAATAGCTAACTAGCTGCTCCGGGCGCCCTACGGGCGCCCTCCACAGCTAGCAATAGTGGTGCGGT